CACCTTGTTATCTCAGATTCTCCAGCATCTGCAGTTCCTACTATCTCGTAACTAAGAATCTGGTTGGAGAAAGAATTGGATGGCTACGAGATTCGTGTCTTCTGTGTCATTTTACGTATTAATAACCAGGTCAAGAAACACTTTATTGAAATAGTGTTTCATCCTTTTGAGGGTGGATGCATGTTGAGATCATCATTACTTTTCTTTTATTTTCCTCATTTTCTTCATTTGGAATTGTAAGTTGCAGCTCAGAATTGAACTTTAAACTTTGAACAGTAACATTTTTTTGAAAAAAAAAGAGAAAACAAAAGACCTCCATCTTCCACCACATACGTCAGACAGTATTCTATGTGCCAGAAATAGAGATGAAAGACTGGGTTTACTAAAGTTAGGGGTGCAAATTCTGATTGCCATTATTAGGAAAAGGGAATCATTGGATAATCTCAAGATTCAGTAGTTAGAACCTGTTTTTCAGTTCTCAAAGATAAGTAATATAGATGCTATTTAAAAAATTAAGAGAGCTTAAAATCTTGAAAGAGGTGAAAAGTTTTACTCTTGAACAGAAAATCAGTCCTCCAACAGCGAGCCTGGTGTAGAACAATTAATATCTAAGGAAGAACCAGCCTTTGATTATGGCAGATGAAGAGATTAGGAGATAGCAAAATGAACTAAATTAACAAGTCAAGGAGTCGGGGTCAGTTATTTAAAGAATAATATAGTCTCCAATTCTTGGATACAACCTTTTATTGTATTAAGTCATCCAGAATTTATCAATGGATCGTTGCTACATTATAATTTATACTTTACTAGGATGACAGTGTCCAGAGGTTGGCCACATTCTTGGAAAGATTGTAGAAGATGTGAGTCCTCCTTTGAAACAATTTCACACATTTCAGGTCTTTGCTGATTTGGCAAGAACATAAAGATTAAGAGGCACAATAGGATTACACCAATAATTGGGAAAAATGGGTGGGTAATGTATATTGAGTCACAATTAAAGAATGATGTAGGTCCTTTCTGGAAATCAGACTTGAATCTTCAAAAATAAGCAACAGATTGCAGTGGTTCACGTGACCGTCAGGTTTGAAGATGATGGTAAATTTCTGGAGTCAGCTTGTTTCAATAAGGTATCGATGTATAAGCATCTGGTTCGACAAATCAAGGAGCTTACATGAGGAATGGAAATTCCTTTTGATTTATAATCAGAGCAAGAGGGAAGTGGTTTAATCAAAATAACGGTCTAATGAACATTTTAGGGATCCAATAATTCAAATTGTTTGAACAGGAGATCTCTCACTTGAAAGTTGCCCTGACGCTCGGGATTGATTTTTCCTTTCAGCAACAAGTCTGGAAAGATATTGCAGGTTAATTACTGCTTTATGAACAGTATGGATGATTTAATACCAGAATGTTATTATGCTCATAGACAGGCATTTGGTTAGATGTTGAAATGGTCAGTCAAAGTAGGACCAGTAATGGCCAGTTAACCACAGAGAATGTTGAAAAGGAAAGAGAACACAATGGCTCTGACTGGGTATAGAAAGGAGACAGTTTTGCTTTAGAAGCTGTTGAACTGGGAGGCTGTTATTCTCCAGTTATGAACTTGTTGGAAGTTCTGAGAAAAGAACCCCAGACTATAAGAAATAAGCAAAAGTATCCAGAAGCTGAAGTTGTTTGCATTGACCAGTGCCTTCAAAATTCAAGCAGGACACAGTCCTGCCTATTGTAATCCAACTCATCAACAAAGGATTTCATGAACACCTGATATTCACTGCTAAAACAATTTGTTCTGATAAAGTTACATTCTTAATAATAAACTGTAATTTTTATTTTAAGTTATAAACTTGGTGTCTAAGATCTGTTATTTGTAAAGCAATTTTGACGGTCATTAAATGTTTTAATTTCACTGTATTACAGATCTAGTGATAGTGAGGCTGATTTGGTTTCGCTTGCTATCCCTGCATCTTAACAAGTCAGAATTTACATTGTTAGTAAAATATACCAGAATTTGCTGCAACTCTAAATGATTAAACTGTGCTAGAAGTATGTGTTAGATTTAGTTTTGTCACTCCTCCACAACTCTATATTCTAAACTGACCACTACTTAAAACTTTTGAAAGTTTTCTGCAGTCTTTGGATGTGGTATAGAATGACAGTATCCCTGTGGAAGCAAGCCTTTCGGCCCATTAAGTTTACACTGACCCTTATTTCACCCATACCCACCCTCTGCATTTCCCATGGCTAATCCTCCTAACCTACACAGTTTTTTTCTGTTTTGTTAAACTAATATCATTTGTGAAAACATATTGCTTTAGATGGAGAAGAGTGGCATGGTTGGTCAGTGGCTCACACTGCTACTTCACAGTGCCAGGGCCTAGGTTCGATTCCAGCCTTAGGTGACTGTCTGTGTGGAGGTTGCACAACCTCCCAGTGTCTGTATGTGTTCCCTCCGGGTGGGCTCTGGTTTCCTCCCACAGCCCAAAGGTGGCAGGTTCAGTGGGTTGGTCATGCTAAGGTAAGAGGGAAAAGAATACATGAGAATCTCAGAGCAACACTTTTACACAGAGGATGGTACACATGTCAAATGAGCTGCCAGTGGAAGTGGTTGAGGCGGGTACATTAACAACATTTAAAAAGCATTTGAACAAATACATGGATAGGAAAGGTTTAGAAGGATGTGGGCCAAGTGCAGGGAAATTGAATTAGCATGGATGGACATTTTGGTCAGCGTGGATGAGTTTGAGCTGAAGTGCCTGTCTCCGTGCTGTAGTACTCTATAATTGTATGACTCTAAATTGCCCATAGTGTGGGTGGGATACTGTTTGGAGGAATGCATGGACTCGATGATTCAAAATAGTGCAGAAAACTTTCAAAAGCTTGAAACACTGCTCAGTTTAGAATTTTTGTTTTGCTAAACCAGCATCGTTTGTGAAAGCATATTGCTTTAGATGGAGCAGTGTGGAAGAGTGAGGAAATGAACTCTTAACATATACTTCCAGTACAGTTTAATCATTTGGAGTGCAGTAAATTCCAGTATATTCTGCTAGCAATGTAACCTACCTAATAGCTATAGAAAGTTTTGATTATTTGGGCAGTCAATGTTAATTAAACTAACAAATATTGTCACTCTTCCAGAGGTGATTCAACTGAACCTGGCAGAAGGACAGGAAGTGAGTATCACCTCAGCAACAGTAGGACAAAGTGCAGTCCTAACATGTTCAATTCAGGGGATCCTAAGGCCTCCAATAATTTGGAAACGCAACAACATTATTCTCAACCATTTGGATCTAGAAGATATAAGTGTAAGTAATAAGTTTGTCTGAGATAATGCCTCTCTGCTTTGTAAAACATTGAATTCCCATTGAAATTTATACTGTCCTTTAAATCACTATTACCTAGCGAAAGAGGAGATTTCTTTAGTGTGATGTTTGGTTAGTTTTACAAATGTATGTTCCTGACACATGTCCCACAGGTTTACATCCAATACAGGATGATTTTCTGATCTGGTTACCAGCAAGTGAGACCTCTAGCTGTGAATACAATTTTTAAAAAGTAAAATTTATGTAAAATAATATGTAAAATTTCTCTTTGTATGTGTGTTTTGCAATTTCATTACAGAGCAGATCTTTTCCTCAAGAAAATACAAATTGGGAAAAAAAATGTGAATTTGGGGTCTTGCAAGCAGAATTTAGGGAGCTCAGAAGTAGATTAAAAAAACATGATCCTAAAGCTAGTAATCTCTAGACTACTTCCAATGCCACATGCTGCTGAGTATAAAAATACGAGGTTAGTCCAAATGAATGAGAGATGGTGCAGGTGGGAGGTATGGTTTAAGATTTCTGGGACATTGGGACTGTTTCTGGGGACAGTGGGCAGATGGTTTGCACCTGACCGGAATGGGATCAGCATCCTTGTGGTGAGGTTCATTAATGTTGTTTAAACTAACTTGGCAGGGGGTATTGGATCCTAAGAGAAGGGTCAGCAAGGGAAAATGAATGGGCAAAATGAAAAGAGACAGCAAGTGATTCAGGAAAGCGTAGAAACTATAGGCCATTTGAGGCACAAGTGGAGTTTGGCAAGGCAATTTATTTTAATGCAAATTCAAATAGTCTGACAAACTAGAGAGATGACTTGACAGCAGAAATTAAAACATTGGGGTATGATGTCATTGCTATCACTGATACAAGGATGGGAGAGGGACAGGATTACAGCTCAATATTCCAGGATAACACAGTGCAGAGCTGGAGGAACACAGCAGGCCAGTCAGCATCAGAGGAGAAGGAGAAGTTGAAGTTTCAGGTCGGGACCCTTCTTCAGAAATGGGGAGGGCAAAGGGAGCTCAGAACTAAATAGAGAAAGGAGGGTGGGGATGTGGAAGGTAGGTGGGATTGTGATAGGTCAGTGCAAGTAGGGAGATGGTGAGGGGCAGATAAGTGGGAGAGAAGATGGATAGGTTGTGTCAGGTCAAGGAGGCGGGGATGAGAGGGAGGGTCGGACATGGGATGAGGCCGGGGGTGGGGAGATTTTAAAACCATGTTTAGGCCATTGGGCTGAAGGTGCCTGAGAAGGAATATGAGGTGCAAAGAAAATGGGGAAGAAAGTAAAAGAGGAGGGTGTTGCAATATTGATGAGGGAATCAATTACAGCAGAAAGGAGAAATGACATCTTAGAAACAAATAAAGCCATAGAACTCAAAAACCAAAAAGGAGCAATTACATTGTTGGGAGTGTACAATGGGACTTCTAACAGCCTGAGAAAATTAGAAGAGTAGAATTGCCTCTGGTGGTGAAAAAAGATTGTCATAACTTCCAAAAGGGAAGAAGATAATTATTTAAAAGGGTACATTTACAACATTAGAGCAAAACTGCTCACAAGCAGGCATAAATGATAACCAAATTGCTGAGTAAAACCGATTGCAGCTCAGAATTGGGGGATTCTTAGGGTTATAATATTCCTTAACAAAATTCGGCAACTTTAGTTTAGGATTTAGTGTCTGGTGCCTCAGAGAAAGTTAGGCTCTGAATAACCAAAAAAAAAACCTGTGAAACCACAAGCAGTCAGCAGAATTACTCACTGTTTTTCATCTGCCCCAACATCATTTCCCTGGAAATGTAATGCATTCTTTTCACATCCTGGACCCAGTCTTCCATGACAGGATCAAACAAGTCAAGTTGCCCAAAGAATGGCACAATGCCAGAAATCCTTACCCCAACTCAAAGGTGACTCTTGCGAGTGAATTTCTTCAGGAGCACACTTTTCTAACCCACCTAACCTACACATCTCTGGACACAATGGGAAAATTAGCATGGCCAATCTACCTATCCTGCACATCTTTGGACTGTGGAAGGAAACCAGAGCACCTGGAGAATGTGCAAAAGCCACACAGACAGTCACCTGAGGCTGGAATTGATTCTGGGTCCCTGGCACTGTGAGGCAGCAATGCTAACCACTGAGCCATCATGCAGACCCAAGGTTAAATGTACAACTTTGATTCCGGTCTCTCATGAGAAGCAACTGGTTCAGTCACCACTGACTGTAGTAAAAGGCTCGGGCCCAAGCATGATGGGGCAAAATTGTTTGCGATTCATCCAGATTGGTTCAACATTTTTTGATTAGAAAATGGCTGCCTGGGTGAAGCCCTAATTAAATACCTGGAGGTTTTTCAGGAAGGTGTAGGCACTGTCAAAGGAACCAAGGCCACCTTGCATGTTGACCAGGAACCAATTCCAGGATTCTGCAAGGCCTGCCCAGTGCCATTTGCCTTATGTGCACAAGTAGAAGCAGAAATCAGAAGGCTAGAAAGTGAATCATTAAACTAATTCATTTTATGGAATGGGCAGCACCGGTTGTACTGATTGTGAAACCAGACATGTCAGTTCACCTTTGTGGGGATTTTAAACAAACTGTAAATCACTTTTTGCAAGTATCCAGTCCCTCATGTAGAAGACTTATACCAATGCTGGCAGGGGGGGTGCTGTCTTTCTTGAAGCTGACATGAGCCAATCATACATGCCTTCTGAGGATTCTCAGAAGTATACTATAATTAATTATACCCCAATACCAATGTACAAGGCTGCCGTTTGGGGTATCGTCAGGCCGTAAAATTTTTCAGTGGACAATGGAGAACATTTTACAAGGTCTATCCCAGGTCGCCATTTATCTAGATGACATGCTAATAACAGGGAGACCAATAAGGAGCACTTAGGGAACTTGGACATAGTCCTTATGTTTCTCCCAATTGGGCATATGCCTTAGAATGGAAAAATGTGTGTTCCAGGCACCCCAAGTGACCTACTTGGTTTACAGAGTTGACAAGATTGGGTTACACCTGTTGGAAGATAAAGTGAGGGTGATCAAAAGTGCCCTGGCTCCCACATCTGTACTGGAACCTAAGTCTTTCCTTGGGCTGCAAAATTCAAAAATAACCTGGCTTCCATCCTGGCACTTTAGCATCAACTCTTTAAAAAGTGTCCCCATTGGAAATGATCGCGTTGCCAAGTCATAGTGTTCAGGTATATGAAGAAACAGCTATCATTTCTAAGGTGTTGGCACATTATGGTCCCAAGCGAGATCTGGTATTGACATGTGATGCCTCCTGGTACAGCATTGGGGTAGTATTAGCTCATAACTGGCCCATTGAAGAGGAATGTCCAATAACGTTTGCATCCAGGATTTTGGCTAATGCAGAGTATAAATATGTCCAGAATTAGCAGTCATATTCAGTCAGGAAATTCCACAAAAGTAAATTTTTAATAATAATGGACCACAAATCCCTGCTAGGTCTACTTAGAGAGAACAAGGCAGTGTCACCCATGGCTCAGGCGGAATTCAGCAGTGGGTTCTAACACTAAGTGCATATAAATACAAGTTGGAACACCGTCCAAAAGGCCAAATAGCAAATGCAAGTGTATTGACTTGCCTCCCACTGGCAGATACATCATTGATGGTACCGCCACTGGAAGGGTCCATAATGGTTTTAAATTTTCTGGATGCACTGCCAGTCGCAGCTGACAGTATCTGACTTTGGAAGCAAAAGATCCAGTTTTGGCAAAGCTGAAACAATTGATGATGATGGGGGAAGCCAAAGAGCCGTGACGACCAGAATTGAAACCTTTTCGGACCCAGAAAGACCAGATCACATTAGAAGATGTTATATTATTATGGGGAGCAAGAGAGATTGTCACAAGCAAAGTTCCCCATCTGATACTCACTGAGCTCCACTAGGGTCACTCAAGTGTTTCCAAATTAAAAATGTTGGCAAGAAGTTATGTTTGGTGGCTATGATTGGATGCAGACAAAGCTGCGTTAGTGGGAAAGTGCCCAGAGTGCCTACCAGGACAAAATGTACCGCCAGCAGCTCCCCCACATTCATGGCAATAGCTGGACAAATCCTGCACTTGGTCCTTTCATGGGCTCAAAGAACTGAGTCATTGTGGACACCTGCTCAAAGTTATTGGACATGCCTAGGGTGAATTCATCAGATACAGGGATGACGATAGAAAAATTGCATACATCTTTTATACAACACAAACTCCCAGAAGTGTCGGTCACAGATTACAGGCCATTGTTTACTAGCAGGAAGTTTGAATATTTCCTAAAGTCAAATGGTATTCATTACATCAGAACATCTCCATACCATCCGTCATCCAATGGCCTGGCTGAAAGAGCAATCCAAACTTTAAAGGCAGGCTTGAAGAAATAGCCTACAGCTTCACTCAAGACCACTTAACTGACATAGTTCCTATTTGATTATGGGACCAACCCTCATGCAACTACAGGGTTAGCTCCAGCAGAGTTGCTAATGGGGAGAAGACTCTGCACCATGGAATTCTGTGTGTGTTTGTGTGTGCGTGTGTGTGTGTGTTTGTGTGGTGGGAAGGTTGTGGGGTGGCATGTGTTGGGGGGTGGGGATGGAGACAGGGTGAAATGACATCAGAAACACCAGATATAAGACTCTGCTAGGCAAGACAACACAGTTTACCTCAGGGGACAAAGTTTGGTGTAGGAATGACAGGAATGGCCCTGCATGGATAAAAGGCATGGTTGAAAGGTCAAGTGACTTATAGAGTTCGGGTAGGTGTGATTGTCCTGAACAAGCACATGGACCATATGAAAGCTGAAAACTTGCAAACGGTGCAGGAGCAAAATATGTCCGGCTCCTCGACTGCCTTTCTGACTATTCTGGAACCCATGAGTTCTCCTACTCTGTCAAGCGTTGGAGATACCTTAGAATCTGAGATGGGCATAGTGGATGTTGCCACCTCAATGCCTTTGCCACCTGAAGAGGAAAATGAATTTCTTCCGAG